GTTTGTTGTTGTTGTTTTTTTGTGGGGGGGGTTAAGGGAGGGAAGGGGGAGTGTTTTCAAAGCTTCTATACAAATGAACGGGTAGTTGGTGGGCATCACTGGTCGGTCCTTTGTCTTTTCTTTTCCTCTGTTGTTTCTGTCTGCCTGGTTCACTTTTCCTCGCACGAAATGGCTTTTATTGAGTTGATGTGCATTTCTTTACTCAAACTCAAACAAAATATTATACGTTATTTGAGTTTAGACGATCGTGTTGACCACCCCTCGATCAAAGTGATGGCATCTCTTTCTAGTGTACAGGACGGGCATTACGTGCGGGGGGGGGGGGGTCAATACGTAGTCTTTGATCCCCACCAAAACAAAAACAAAACTGATCAAAACTGACTTTCGTCTGGCCAGAAATCGCAAGTGTCTGTGGTGTACCTGTTATGGTGAGTGCACACTGCTAATCGAATTCATCTGATTAAGTCCGAGTCAGCCAGAATTTTTTTTTCTCTCCAGGGAGGAGATAAATATATCATTTTGGCAAAATTCGACCCAATTTGACAAAATTCGAGTATGACCTTCAAAATCAAACACATAATGTATTTTTCATAGTCGAAAGTAGAATCAAGTGTATTGTGCCAAAATTGTAGCTCTGTCTGTCCATGGAAGAAAGCCTGGCTGGCCACTTCTCAGTTCGAGTCAAGTATATGTTTTGTAAGATGCACTCTGTATTAGTCTCTTCGTTCTTGAATGTGGAATACCCGAGTTCGATTCCCATTGTGTGAGAAGGCTGTTTAGTTTATCATCGATTCTTCAATTATCTGTAGATCTATCTGTTTGCTAGGTGGTTGAGTCCCTCTCATCCCGGGTTGGCCCTCAGGAGTAGGGTCAAAGCAGCCCACTTCCTAAATTCTATGAATTATGATGATTGAGGCGATAAAATTTGCAATTTTCTTTCCTTTTTACCCCTCAGGAAACGTACGTGTCGCCTCCGGCTGGGCGGCCATTGCCTTACAGAGGAGCTGGACAAAGCGGCAAAACAGTACGCTTACCTCAAGTCCGGGAAATCCCCTGGCAGACGGCGAAGGGAAACAGGAAATGCCGCCATCTTGGAAAACCACGATCGCTATGAATGACGTACTGCGCATGTGTAGTCGTTAGGTACGGGTGACGCGACTAATAAAAAGATACTTACGTCTTATTTGATGTCAAGTTTGTGTTTGATCCTTCAGAATTTTTTGCCTTGATATATTTTTTTTTAAAGAACACTTGTCGGGATACATGGTTTGTTTAGTAATAGACAGTGCCCATTGTCAGGATTGTTTCGGTTCGATAATTTGGTAGGCTTGCAGCCTGAGAACAAACGCTTTTGGGTTTTTAAGATCATCGTCGAATTTATTCGAATTGTGCCAAGATAGTAGCTTTTGCCCCTCCATGTACGAAAATCTAGGTAGCCCCTTCTCAATTCGAACGACCCAACCGAACCGAACCGATCCGATCCTACCCACGGCAAAGGCAATTATGATTATGGTTGTTTTGTTCAGGATGCCAGTGCCCTACTAGACACAAATGATGCTTCTGGAACAAACTTAGAGACAGCACACAAAGGATACTACGTCAGCACTCCTGCACATCTCAACGTCGACGTCAGTATGTGCCTATCCACAGAGAAAGGCTTCTTGTGCGTTTTGAGTTTGTGCAGAGTGGCTTCCTTACCACTTACCCGGCCCTGGCACACACACACACACACACACACACACACACACACTCATACGACATAAAATACCATAGCATGCATACTACAAAAAACCCACACACACTC